CTACCAACTGTACAAAGCATCGCGCATTAATTTCTTTGCGTTACGCTTGTAAATTGACGGGAGGTGGAAAGGACAAAAATAAAATATCGATATGACGTTGAAATGACGCGAGCTTCGTCGGATTACTTCAATTTTTGGGGACCTGTAATCCGTATAGAAGCGGCTGCAAACTGTCGTTCCATCGCAAAAAATAGAGCCGTGATGGTGATTGACGCGTTGACAGACAACTTCATACGAAACTTCCTACATTTTTACATCGATCATTCAGATTGGAATTACTCGGCGCTACTCCGGATAAGTGCTCTTCGCTATCTCCTCGCAACATTGGAAAATCGAATATACGAATACGTCGAGACAATAACGAAAACAATTCGTCTCAATAATGCAGCCCCTGGAGTATCGGTATTATTTGATCGAAGAGAACGCTGCTCGTGAATCTTTGAAATTCGTGCAGTAGAATGCTTCTATTCCCCTTAGCGAGCGATCTCGTCGATTCGACGCACGGTTTTAAAGCAAGTATTCGTATTTTATTGTGTAAGCCTATATAAATATATCGGATATATCAAAATAGAACCCCAGCCCAGAATTGTGGAGTAGCCTCATGAAGTATGCGCAACGCTGAAACGATGTTTCGTCGGCTGATTTATCGCTCGAAGAATTCGTGACAAGGTTTCCTAGTTTCGAGAAGCCATTATTCAACGAGGAATCGGTGCATCTGCAGCGAACAACGTGTAATTCCTCAGAAACGAGGCGGATTCTCGAAGCGTCAGGTGGTTCCCAAACCGCACCTGATCGATAGAAACGAGGCCTAATGACAGGGCCGCCATTGATGGCCGTCCAATATCCGACTTACACGAGCCTCGGAACGCACGTGATCCAAGGTAATTGACGCCGTTCGTCATCTACGACCGAATCCGTTCCATTTCTCGCACGAATAACCAACCTCGCGACTGGGTTCGCGCATTCTTTCCACGCACGTGAAATATTCGCGACGTGTCGTCGAAAGTTCGCCGCACCGCGAAAGTTACCCGTGAGACTAGATTCGTTCGATGCTTGAAAGTTACCGCGAGCTTCTCTTTCTTATATATTCTCCAGGAATACAAAAGCTTGAAACTACAAACGCGATAACAAACTCTGCAATCGCGAAAGTAGCAGACGACTATCCAACACGACGAACCAAACTTCTCGGAAAACGTATTTAAATTAAAACAAAATAAATATAGAGGGATGCACCTGTGATACTTGGATCGCAGCAGCTTCCGCGACGCTTCGATCGAAACGAGGAAAAATATCTGGCTACAGTGGCGGGGCGAAATATTTATGAAAAGAAATCACGATTTAAATTAAGAACCGTAAAGGGCCGATCTTCGGCGGGAAGTAATTTGACGTCGACAGAAGCGAAAAGGAGCTCCCTATCATCCGAGCGAGCCGTTACCACTAAAGTGGCGTACTTGAGATATTCCTCGCACGTTTTTAAAGTGTCCCGTGTCAAAGAGTTCGCCGAGACTCCTCCGAGGAAGCAGCACGAATCGTCGTCCACTCCCCAGAGAGGATTTTCCTGAATTCGTTTCAACTGGATTTCCTATCCACCAGTCAGGTACACTTCAGCATAAGTACACACAGACGTACACATACGTACGAAGACAAGGAGTGTCACGCAGCCGGCACGAACGAAGTGTATCTTCGTGGAACAATATTTTCGTTTCCCTCTCGCGCGATCTGTGCCCGAACTGTTTGCAGGAATACGCTTTCGAAAGAGAAAACGTACACCGTGTATTATTACCGTCGAATCGGATTCCGTTCGGCCAGATTCGAATGAAACTAAAAACTCGTTTTCTCGCAGATAAGCTGCCGGATGTTTCTAAGGTTTCAAGGCGAAGACTGCCGTAGGAACTTTTTCTCGATGAAAACGTAACGGGGAATCTCTTCTCTACGCCGAGTGCTCGTAATTTCCTACCGAAGAGGACCGCGCAACCTTTCAACTGCAGCGTTAAACAATTAACGAAAACATTTCGCTCCCAGTGTGTAAATATTTTCTTCGGAGGTCGGACCGTATTTCTGCGCGATTGTGAGAATTTTTACGCTATCGGGATTGGATAAGCGAACAGGTTCGGGGAGGAAGGTTGGTACAGCGTAGGCGGAAGAGGGATGGTCGATGGGAGACAGAGAGAGCGAGAATCAGGAGGGTTGGTGATCGATTGCGTCGGTACATGCACAATAACAGGGGGATGGAGTCATGTATCCGGGCTAAACAGCCCATTTGCCCCGCACAATGGAAGCGACGTTGCTGTGGGCTCGACTTAATTACGTAGAGGCTGCCTTTGGCAGAGACCAGAGAGGTAAAGAGAGGCGAGAGGATACCTTATCGTAGGCAGCCTACACCTAAACTGCATTTAATAGACTTTCAAGAATGTAAAATTCACTGACAAATCGATACCTTCGATGGTAAATTAATTTGCGCGTTAACGGAACTCGAGTTTCCTAACTACCCTCGAAATGGACGAACAAGCTGGTTGAATACAAGGACTCGCTTCAATATAATGCATTTATCGAATGATTAAACTACGCTAAAACGCACTGCTACACGCTCTTAAAGCTCTTTAGCACCTACTCTAACTTGTCCCTCTTGGTTCTGCGACCCAATCCCCCCGCTACAATCCTAAGGGACTTTAATAGATTACTAAACGCGTTTGTCAATCAATTAAACTCTCTCGAAACCCTGTTTAAGGAGAATACTCGAATGATCGAGATCAGCTGATATGCAGTGCACGTAATATATCTTCGTGTATTTTCTATGATAAAAATTTAGCCCACATTTGCTCGCGAGAAGTTCGATCGCTTCCAACCATTTTATAAACCGTTATTTCCGATTCATCCAAGGTCTAAGAAACTAGTGTTTATCGCGATCGATCGCTATATAAATTCAGGCAGAAAGTATTGCTATAAAGTACGTATAAACTGCTCGCCAAGTTCGAGCGCTCTCAAGGACGCGCTTTCCTTATTTATCTATCGCATGCAACGGCTGGAGCATCTCGTAGCGGAGCAATAAGAGTTCCCCGCCAAACAAAACAGTTTTCCGATAGTTCCATTAGTGTGAAAACGAACAGAATTAGTGGAGCCTAGCCTTTAGCCTGGACACCATTGTTGAACGAGAATAAATTACGAATCTGCGTACAGTACTTACCGAAGTTCTCATAAAGTTCGCCGTTTCCAAGAGGCCACTGCATTAAACAGGGTATATCTGCAACAGAAAACGTAGTTTCGTTTAACATATTCAGATAGGGGAATCAACGAAGCATCGCAAGGTCAATTGGTTCCTAAATGGCATAGGCTAGGAGTATATTGTCGTTATCGTTTGTTCTCTAAGCGTTACAAACTGCAACGTTAGATAAGTGAAACACTCAGCGGTTAACAACGATAAATTAATAGAAGAAAGATAGCAAAGGTGTCGAAGATATATCACATGTACTGGTTGCATAAGTGCATGACAGTCCAGCGAATGAAGATAAGCGAGACTTACTTGCGAGTTGTAACACTTATGTGTATCGCTTAACTGACACATATATCAACGAATTGCGTTTGATTAGTTGAGTAGTTGCTGAGAATATAAGCTTAGAGGATCGTTAAGATTTTCTCCTCGTGCGAGTGAGGGAAAAATGACTTTGAGTTTGAGCCTCCTCGTCGGGGCACTGACCCTGATCACCGTCTACTTGATAAACAAGTACATCTATTGGAAGAGGCGTGGAATTCCAATAGTCATGGGATTAATACCGCCGTTTGGTCACTCGTTACCGGTAATAAGTATGAAGTCGAGTGTCTCAGAGTTACATCGCAAGATATACGAAGATACCAAGAATGTCAGCATGGTTGGGCTCTACCAAATGACGAGCCCCGCGCTTATGGTTTGCGAACCTCAGTTAGTGAAGGCTGTTTTGCAGACCAGCTTTCCAAAGTTTCACGAGAACGCATTAAAAATTAATCCCGAGGCGGATCCTTTATTATCCCATCACCCGTTCTTCAATTCCTGTGAGAAATGGTCGATCGGAAGAAAACGTTTAACCTACGCGTTTTCCAACATGAGATTGAAAATCCTTTTCGCGACTGTCAAAGATGTATGCAAGAAATTCGAGGACTTCATGGAGAGACGATTGAAGACCAGCGACAAGTACGAAACGGAACTGAAGACATTTTTCGCGAAATTCACCGGGGAGGTTGTGTCGACCGCTGGCCTGAACATTCGAAAATTTGAATAATCGTGTGCAATCTTTTCAAATAGAATTATAACTAATCCTTATTATTTTTAGTTTAACTTTTAAAAATTCTAGATATACTAGATTTATCAGATTTATTTGTTTACCTGTTTCAAACGTATCAGAATAACGCAACTCGATACTTATACTTATCTAATCTTATATACATGATATACGTATGTTTTCTTTTATGAAAAATAAATCAGAATAAGAAACATTACATATATATATAATTCACGCACGTGAACGTCAAACGCAAAGTCTGTCTGACGCGTCTCGGAACGTAGCGACTCGAACAGGTTCTCTGAGTGGTTTCTCGTGTTCACCATCGCCATGTACACATAACTAGGCGAACTGTACATGTATGGACGCATACATTTTACATTTTATACGTATATCTCATTGTCTGACTCGTCGGGTATGCGGAGACGCGACAAACTCGCGGAGGAACGACGAGCTCAAAAACGGTTCCGTTAAAAAACAGGAACGTGCGTCCGAAAATGCAACTGCGTTCGTTGTTAATTAAACGTTTGCGTTGGAAATTTTTTTCCTCGCGAGATAATCGTTTCGCGCTTTGAATGTTCAAATCGTTGTCTGAAAGAATCTGAGGGGTTAGCAAAATAATAAAAACCACATTCGCTTATATTATTTATACCCTCTATCGGTCCGCACAATAGAGGCTCTAATGTGTTTCCAAAGAGCGCTAAACCTTGACTCAATAGTTGAAACTTGTTCGAATCGCAACCCTGGATTATTCGTCTCACCACCGCCACCGCAGCTCGTATTTGCTCTTCACCCTAACGCGTATCTTCGACCTCCGACTCTTCACCCTCTTGTGGCCAGGATTGGTTCAAAGGCTCATCGAAACACTCTCTAGAATCTATCAGCCGAAACACCGCTCTCAGGAGATAGAGGCCGATTCCAACCAGGCAGCTTTCACGTAAATAAAGCTCCGGAGCTTAATACGTGACCATAATGGGGACGAAAATGCCTTTGAAACGCTTTCTATATAGAACAATGTTCGTCGGACCACCGAAGCGGCAACAACTCGATTATTTTCGAACTATTAAATTCTTTTTATCGATGCTCCTGCCCGTCGACGAGTGCGTTAAATCCCAAGTAAATAATAACGATCACAGGCCAGCGACTCTTGCTCGTGAACTTTGTTAAACCATCGAATGGAAATGAATCCGATGCTTAACGATTCATTAAACGATCAAACGACGATTGGATTTCCTGTCATCTAAATCATGGAACAGTGTTCGCGGTGAATTACACGAGAGACCCGAGTTTAACGTCGCCTCGACAAAGCACAAAGTGTCCCCGTCGCTTGAAGTCACTAGATACACAGTGTGTATCTCATCGCGTGGGACGCACTTCAGCGGCAGATCGAGGACGCAAGATCAATAAAAAGGGTTGAAACAAACGTGGCACCCTATTCTAGCCTGTTCCCGAGTTACGATTTCGATTTATTTCAAATCTCGTGGTTGTTTTCCGATTACGTTAATTTTACCGCGTAAAGGACCGTACTTTAAATCGAAACAAGAAAACGCAGGGAGGGCACACGTGTTCGCGGAAAGCGAAAACGTGTGACGTCTATCTGTAGAGAGGAGAGGACCAGCCGAAGAGCACGACCAGCAAGAGAAACGTAGTCGTGGGAAGGGGAGGAAGTGGGTGTTCGCGTCGTAGTGCATCTTTCTCTGATTTCCCGCGGGAGAAGTCACCTAGGTAGGTTTCTCCTCCGTATCGAGGCGCGGAAAGAGGATAAAGGACAGAGAAAGAGAAGGCGGATACAGCAGCAACGTGTGTCCTCGCGTAGCATGATTTATTTTATTGCTTTTCGAGAACCCAGCATAATTCCACCCCCGCCGGCCCTGCCGACAGTTATTTACCCCTCTCCTGAGCGCAGAAGGACGGACGGAACGGATCGAGGATCCCTAGGCACGGGATCAACAGGTACAGGACTGCTGCTATCCCTGAACCGAGTCAAGACAGGGAACCCGCCATCCCCTAGCAGTATAAAAATATCATGCGCGATATTGGGGGCGTAAATTTGATCGCGACGACGAAACTGCGCGGCGGAGTAACGAAAATTTTGTAAAAATATTAGCCAAAGGTGGAATGACATCGCGGAGCGAGTGACGCTCGCGAACGGGAGAAGCGCGAGGAAGCTTGATTTAATTAAAACGGACGATGACAACGACGATGCAGTAAATTGAAAATTACGGAGCAAACTAATCCTCTTAAATGGAATATTACTAGGAGAACATGGCACCGAGATAAACGCGACGAATTCGATTGTTTTTGACTAAAGCTACGGCAATAAATTCATCCTCTTTAATGGACGCTCGGAACATGCTGGTATTGACGTTTAAATCCCATCAGGCACGTCCTCTTCTCCGACCTCGCACCTTCCCCCCTCCGCCAAAACGATTTGCTTTCATTCTGTATTAACGAATCGCCAATAGGTCCGATAGCTTAAATTGATTGCGAATCGGTACGACGGAAGCCATGAACTCTAATCAAGAGTAATCAGAAAGTGGGAAAAAATTAATACCTCCTCGAAACTTTGAAGCACCTTCCGTTAAGGAAAGATTCAAATTATAACGACGTCTGTTACCACGCAACCTTTTTAAACGCTCTGCAGGTGCGGTAAATAAATTCTTCGGCTACCTTAACCCGACTTTTGGCGTCTGCTTTCGTTCTCGTTCCCAAGCATTGTATTTCTCTGGTCGTGTTCGACGATATTAGCGTCATGGTTGGAAGGATACCCGGAAGAACGTCAACCGAGAGCGTAATATACTTGCTCGAAGCCTTTTCCGAATGCACGTCGCCGAGGGTTGCAGGGGGTTGGCGGTAACGGAATGGAGAAAGGGGGATAGCAGCGGGGTCGTTCCAGGAAATTTCACGGAGTGGCGCAATAACGTTTCTTATGCCACGTTTCCGGAGTGGCGTGCCGTTGGGGGAGGTGGGCAGCTTGCAAATACTCACCGCGTGCGCGAGGAAGAATGAGAGTGCAATAGAGAGGGTGAAAATAGCAGGGAAAAGGGAGGAGATGCAGTCACTCTCTGGCATGCAATTAGGAGCTAGGCATCGTCCTGAAAAAGGATCCCCCTCTTTCGGTGTTTCTGCTGGGATCCTCTTTCTCTTTTCACCCCCAGTGCCCTTCCGCCCCGACTTCCCTTTAGCTTTCTCCTTCTGGAGTTCGTTCGATTATATACGTACACGGATTTCCTCCTTCGCGCGTTTTCCTATAATCCACGTCGGCGCCTCTCGACGCACACGCCGCGGATAACGACTCCGGAAAATATCGGCTCGACGATTGGTCGATTTTTCCCGCTGATATCGAAAAACCGTGATTCCCGATACAACAGACCCGGGGATATTAAATGTGAATCGCGTTAACTCGATAACGAGCGTCGCGCGATTTAATATAATGGCTCGAACCTACCACGAAGCTACAAAAATGGGGTACAAGTTGGGAGATTGTTTTGCGAAGTATGCACGTATCAATGATGCGACCTTTTCCTCGTTTTATTTCATTTCAACCATTGGGGGTCGGAAAAGTTCGATTATCGGTATTTTCTCGGCCCTCAAGATGATGTCCACCGTCGATAAGAGGATTGCGAAAGCTTTCAGTCGATCGCTGGAGATGTTGATTTTGGGAAATTTCATTTCTGCGTATAACCCGATTTATAGCGGAAATTTTTGAGATTGGGCCGCCGCGAATAAAAAAGGAATGTACCAAACGAGAACTGGTAGGAGAGTGGAGTGTGCAAAAAAAAAACACAAAAAGGTTTGAAACATTGCTGCCGTACCCGGGCGAAGGGGGTGAAGCAGATAGTGCCATTCAGTGCTACCAACGGATGATTCCCGCGGGAAACTGGAGGGTAAACACTAACGCCAATCCTGTTTTTTCCCCGCTCCCTTCCATTCTCTCTCTCTCTCTCTCTTTCTTTCTCCGTCCGCCTATCTGTTTCTCGTTTTTTATTCGCTTTTCTGGTTCTGGCAGCCTCCCACCACGCGACGACGCGTAATAACGATAATAAATCGTCTCTGAGTGATTTAGAGGTTCATTTAGCTGGCGAAACTTTTGCGAGAGCACGGGTTACGGTGGCAGATTATAGAGAATAAGTCATTTTCGTTCGAGTCAATCCGTGAATTAGGGACACCCGACATCCGCAGCGTGACGATTCTCTCGCAAATTACTCGGCTCTTCGTTCGTCGAAAACTTCCCCGTCTGGTCTGAACGTTGAAAAATTGCGCACCGCTAGGAAAATTGCATTGGGTTGGCGCATAATTCGCCGTGTCTCTTTCTTTTCTCAAAATAAAATTAAAAAAAAAAAAAAAAAACGGCGAATTACACACCAATTAAATGCTATGTATATATATATTTGGACTCCCCGACTGTGCTATCTCGGTTCAGCCAAGTATCCTTGCCCTGAAAAGGATTTCTTGGGCGTGCGTTGTGTATTACTTTGAGAGTGCCGCATTCAGAACTTTGGTATGAAAAAGGACAACGAAAGTAATATTATAGGGAAAACCTCTCGAGTGATCCCTTTTAGAAGAAAATTGCGTTTAAAATAAATTGCCACGAACTTATGCATCGACCCCGATAGCTTTCAGTGGAAAGTAGGCTAGCTTCGTTCGGTTTGTACGCGAAACAATGACCACGCGATGGAACACGTCGCGTCAAAAGAGCCAACAAATAGCGTCAGTTAATAAAATATCGATCACACGACCGACCGTCCGAGCGAAAGTAAAACGAATCTTCCGCGCAATAATGAACCGAAATAGATACAGTTCGAGCGGCAATAAAATCCTGTCGGTACCGTGAAACTGCCGACAAAAGTAGCTCGTTGATATAAGGCACGGGCTTCTATTACCCGGAAATTAACGAAAGCCATGCACGTACGGTCGTCGGTACGTGTAGCGAGTGAACAGAAGCTGCTTTCGGGACGAGTTCCTATTTCTTCCTCCTCCCTTGGGTCATTCAATTCGAG